AGTTGATGGAACAGGACAGGTTTCAAGTAGAGTAGAGCAGAGTAGAGGAGTTGATGGAACAGGACAGGAGTAGAGTTGATGGAACAGGACAGGTTTCAAGTAGAGTTGATGGAACAGGACAGGTTTCAAGTAGAGTAGAGCAGAGTAGAGTAGAGTTGATGGAACAGGACAGGTTTCAAGTAGAGCAGAGTAGAGTAGCAGAGTTGGAAGGAACCTTGTAGGTCATCTAGTTTCACCAACCCCCACTCAAGCAGGAGACCCTATGTCATTTCTGACAGATGGCTGTCCAGTCTCTTGAAAGCCTCCAATGATGAAGCACCTACAACTTCTGAAGGCAATTTCTGTTCCATTGGTTCATTGTTCTCAGAAAAAAAATATATCCTTATTTTGAGGTTGAATCTCTCCTTGTTCCATTATTCCTTGTCTGGTCTTCAGGTGCCTTCAGGTGCTTGACCCCTTCCTCTCTGTGGCAGCCCCTCAAATATTGGAAGACCACTATCCTGTCTCCCCTGGTCCTTCTCTAGCCAAGCCCATTTCCAGCAACCGGTATGTTTTAGCCTCAAGTCCCCTAATCATCTTGGTTGCTCTTCTCTGTATTTTTTTCTAGGGTCCCAACATCTTTTTTTATAGTGTGGGGACTGCTGCCCAGGGAAGGAACTCGAGGCCACCTGCCCAATTTTAATCCCACACCCCCCCGCCCCGTCGACACCACCAGCCCAGAAAGCCGCCGGGTAGCAGGCAGGGCTGTTCTTGTCCCGCCGCCGGAGCTGCTCACCTCGTCCTCCGAGAGCGCCGGCAGGGGGTCGAAGTCGCAGCACTCTTCCTCTGCAAACTCACCCATCGCGGCCGCTTCCGAGGGTCCTTCCTGGCCCCCGCCGGGACCAGAAGCGACCCGAGGGGACTCGACTTCCAGCGGCCAGCCGGGCTCTCTCCGGCATCCGCCCCCTCCCCACTTTCTTCTTCCGTCGCTAGTTGCGGGTCCGTCTCTTCTCCTTCCCCGACGGTTTGGCTCGCCGCGCCTCCCTCCCGGCGCCGTCCGACAACTGTGTTTGCCGAGCGAGGCAGCGCCCCTGGCAACCGAGCTGCCTCGCCCTCGGCCGGGCTTGAGCCAAGAAGGGAGGCTCCGCCTTGTTCCGGGGCCGGTGGCCGAAAGTGGGGGAACCATCGCCGGCTCTCCTTTAAAGAGTAACTCCGCTAGAAGCCGAAGAGAAGTTTCCGCGCTGCAGCTGCTGATTGGCTGTTTTGGGGGCCTTAGCTTGCGGCTCTTGAAACGCTGAGCCTTTTTTTATTTTTTATTTTTTAAGGATAAATTATGGAGCCCTTTGGTGACTCAAGTCAATGGCGACCAGATGTGGGCCTTACAAATCGTAAGGTTAAGCCTTAACACGGAGATTGGAGAACTTTTGGCATTATGAGGGCTCCCTGGTGCTCTCTGAGCTTGCTGGCTTTCTCACAGACCTTTCATTACCCAAACTAGGTAACATCATCAGCCTTAGCAGCTGAGGGGATTTTAAACCATCATGCTAGCACTGAAGATGTTAACAAGTTTGCTTAATGAAACGTCTGCGAGAAAACAAGCAACCTCAAGAGAGCAACAGATAAACAGATAATCAAGAGTTGGAAGGGACCTTGTAGGTCATCTAGTCCAACCCCCCGCCCAAGCTGGGGACCCTACACCATTTCTGGCAAATGGCAATCCAATCTCTTCTTGAAGGTCTCAAGTGATGGCGCTCCCACAACTTCCGAGGGCAAGCTGTTCCATTTCAACCCTGAGCTAGAAATATTCTCCTTTGGCATTACAGATTGTCCTTGGCTTGCAACAGTTCATTTAGTGACCATTCAAAGTTACAGTGGCACTGAAAAAAATGACATGACTATTTTTCACAGTTACGACCTTTGAAGCCTCCCCCATGATCATGTGAACAAAATTCAGATGCTTGGCAACTGGTTCATATTTATGACCATTGCTGTGTCCCATGATTATGTGATCCCCTTTTGTGACCTTCTGACAAGCAAAGTCAATAGGGAAGCCAGATTCACTTGACAACCAGGTTACTAACTTACCAACTGCATTGATTCACTTAACAACTATGGCAAGGAAGGTCATAAAATGGGGCAAAACTCACTTAACAAATAATGTTGGGTTCAATTGTGGTCATAAGTTGAGGACTACCTGTATTTCTCAACCTAGACAACTTTAAGAGATGTGGACTTCAACTCCCAGAATTCCCTTGTGCAGATTGAGAAACACTGCTTTAAGGGCTGCCTTTGCCCAATGTTCTTGTATTTACTCGTGGTTAGTTTGAATGGGTAAGATGGGGTTTCCAGAGCATGGTAGCCCCTAAATACTTACCTCTAGCATGCTAGGCTGAAATGTTGGCTTGTTAATGATTCACTGCATCCTTCAAACCCAACCTCCAGATTAATTTGTCTAGCCCTTCTTTGAACTCCATTCCAGAGTCATTCTGTTAATTATTTTCTGCAGAAAGTGGATGAGTTCATAGTGGAGAGAAGGTTGAGGTACACTGTATAAAGTCAAGCTTAGGATGCAATCCTAAATATTCTTGGTTTGGATGGAGTTCCACTTAAATTCAGTAGTTCAGCTACTGAAGCACTAACTCAAGTAGAGACTAATAATGGGTAAATTTTCCTGGAGAAGAAACCATTCCAACAGAGGCACATAACAAAACGTTTGCCAAAAAAAAACACCCTCTTATATTACAATCAATATGGTTAGACCATCACAAACATATGCTACACTAAGAAGATGTGTCAACACTGAAACATTGTATGCACATTCAGGTGAAATCACAACTGCATTGGGTAACAATCTTTATAGAATAAACAATACCCAGTTTTTCAGTCTTATTATTCCAAGACATGTCTAATATTTGTACTTGGTGTGTGTGTGTGTGTGTGTGTGTGTGTGTGTGTGTGTAATAAGACAACCTATTTTTAGTATAAAAAGACACAAAAACTGGGTGGAATGATTCTCAAAATAGGAGCACAACAGCGGAAGAATACAGTTTGCTCAAAAGGAACAAAAAGCAATAGAAAAGGACTTGTGAGATATTAAACTACTCTTGCTCAGAAGAAGGACTAAAAGCGATACTATTATTACCAGGCTTCCCACTACGGCTTGCAATAAATCTCAGTTCTCCAGCCTCTAGTTCAGGAATTGCCTTGGAAGCGAATCCTCAGATATAACCTGTTTTTTTTTTTATTGCAGATAAGAACGAAGGCAAATGCACAAAAATGATTGGTGTTCCAGAATGTAAAATCTAAGTGTTTTCTTTCTATTTTCTGTAATTCACAAATATTGGGTGTTCTCTTGATGGCCAGAAAGATAATTGGATTATAGTTTCATAATGATTTTCACTAGCCTGATAACTTTCGACTGATATCTAAGCTGTCCATTTGTCCATCCTCACATTGGCTGGGTGTCGGGGTAGTTCACACATATGACACACCCACAAACAAAAATTGGAGCTTTGATGGTCATATCATTGCTCTTGTCTTGACATTTTTGACTACACCCTACAGACACTATTGGTTGGGTATATACCAGAGGTGTCCAACTTTAAGACCTATGGACTTCAATTCTCAGAATTCCCCAGCCATCCATGCTGGCTGAGGAATTCTGGGAGCTGAAGTCCACAAGTCTTAAAGTTGCCAAGGTTGGACACCCATGGTGTATAGCATCATCCACCCAACCATGAAGATGTAGGTGATGGTTTCAAAACCAAATGATACATCTCCCAAGATAAGTTATACCTTCATAAAAATATAAAACCTTCTTCATGCCTTTTTGAATGATGCATGTACAGGCAGTACTCACTTAATGACCATTGGCTAAGCTACTGTTCAAAGGTACATTGGAAGTCCAAAAGGTACTTATGACCCAATTTCAAAGTCTTGACAGCTCTACTCATGATCATGTGATCACATTTTGAGCTGTTGGCAACCAGCTGACCTTTATGGTCACCTGATTGAGATTTTCAATATTTTTGGTCAATTTCTTCTGGTTTCCAGCAATAAAAAAGACCATTGGTTAAAATGGATTCATTGAACACAGCACTTGCTTAACAAACACTGCAAAAAAAGTTATAAAACATGGCCCATGGTGATTGTCTTAAAAACCACAACATACAGTCGTAATTCTGGGATCAATTAAATTAATTAAATATTTGATTAAATAATTAAATTAAGGCCCTTTCCACCTCTATAATTCTATATTCCCATTACCAATTGCATATGGATTAATGGATCGTTTGAATACTAATGCATCATGCAGGGCGAAGATGTCTATTTATATGCTGCATTGTTGTTGTTTTGGGTTCCTTCAAGTCAGTTTGGACCCTGATAACTTCCTGGAAAAGTTCCTGCAGTTTTCTTGGCAAGGTTTTTCCAAAATGGCTTGCTCTTGACTTCTTCCTCGGGCTGAGAAAAAGCAACTGGCCCAAGGTCACTCAGTTGGCTTTCGTGCCTAGGAGAAACTACAACTCACGGTTTCCTGGATTTTTTTGCCTGGTGCTTCGCTACTATATCAAACTAACTTTCATATGGCTCAGTTATTGAAATATATTCAGTGTGGTGCAGTGGTTAAGCTTAGAAACTGAAAGACTCTGAGTTCTAATCCCACCTTAGACATGAAAGCCAGTGGGTGACTTTAGGCCAGTCACTCTCTCTTAGCCGATCTCACCTCGTAAGGTTGCTGTCGTTGGGAAAATAAGAAGGTAGGAAGGAGCATTATGAGTGTTCATTAACTTGAGTTATTTATAAAAAGAAGAAAGGCAGGATAAAAATCTAATAAATAAACACATGTTTTGAATAGTAATTAAAGCTCTTATCCGATCCCTCTTTACTATCTTTCCACTAACTTTGAACTCACAAAAAAAAATCAATTACAGCCACTGGGAAAGCCAGAAATCCTTCGTATCAGAACTGAAGTGCTGCCTTGTGTTCTTTTGGGAAATGTAAAATGTGTTATCATTCATTAAATTAAAAGTTTATTGGATATCTGTGCTTTATTATCCCATTTATGCATAACTCTTAAGTCATTCTAATAAATATATAAAAATATGGATGAACACTGAACAGAAACTTTGCAAATCCATCATCATACTACTATGCTTACTTTTCCCGGTCAAAATGGCATGAGTTATACAGGCGGATCAAGCTAAATGAGATCTTACCATTTCATGAAAAAGATAATGGTAGGTAGGTCAGGGATTTTCTTAAGTCCAGAGTTCAACATGCCTCGGGCTTCACAAACACTTTAGAGAATGTCAAGGAACTCTCAGAAAATAAATTTAAAACAAGTTAAATTAAAAATGAGTGAAATACGGAAGCCACTTGAAGTAAATATCTCCAATCTCTTCAAAAACTGATATTATAATGGCCTAGAACAGGGGTGTCAAACTTGATTTCATTGAGGGCTGTTAGGGATATACACCCTAGCAGAATGTGCAACGGCAGTCAGTCAGGCAGATATGTGAGATAAACGTTGTTGTAGTTTACACTCAGTAAAACAGATACACAGTGCTAGTTAAATAGTTTACTCCAGTAAGATTGTTAGCATAGTCAAACAGTCCATATATCATACACTAAGTTCAGTCCGTCCGGGGATTATCCATTAGCAAAGTCCAGTGTCGAAAAAGAGGTCAGTAAACTTACAAGTAATCAGTCCAGTAATATATCTCTTTTTGCAGTAGAGATATGAAGAAAATCAAACCTCTTTTCTTCGTTCAGCAATAGCAAGGAAAACACGCAGTTATCACCATCAATCCATCATTGTCAGCAATCCAGTAAAAGCCAGCAAACAGTGAGCTCTCTTGCTCCCTCTTATGGTGATTTTACAACCGCACCCAAAATACATGGTCTGCATTTAAAGTGATACACACAATCATAGTCTATATATATTATTTTACCCAAACTAAGTTAGGTAACCATGTTATCCCTAACAAGGGCCAAATCAGGGTTGTGTTTAACCTTGGGGGGCGTGGTGTGGCTTGGGTGGGTGTGGCCAGGGTGGGTGTGGCCACCTTGATGACACTCATCGAGGTTCCGATTTTGGCCACAACAGCCTTCTGCCAGCAAAAATGGAGCTCAGGGGGACGTGTGTAACCATCCCGAGCTCCGTTTTCACTGGCAGAGGCATCACGG